TCCAGAAATTAGCTCCTTTGTTTCTTAATAAACATTCCAACCTGTAAAAGTAAAGCTCTCAAAACACCTACCAGCACCTTCTCCAGACCAACTTGCAGCATAGAGATGGAAATCCTAGGCCACATATCAGCATATGAATAGCAATATCTTAGTGTACAGTACATCTGAAGTATGCAGACTGATTTAATTCACCAAAAATGTATATATTTACAAGTTAGGTTTTATTTTTCTGATCTAAAAGCTTTATTTTTTCTTCAAACTAGAAACCTCAAATCCTGAGAGCTTTAATATTAAGAATTGTGCTGCAGCAGATGCCTTGGTGGCAGTTCATTTTAGCAATTCCTCACCACATCTCAGGAAGTTTCTTTTTAGAAGGTTTTTTTAATTGAAGTTATTCCTGCTTGCCCTACTTTCAAAATGATCACATAATTACCAAAAGGGATGAAGAGCCAAGGCCAGAGCAATCAAATCGTATTGTTTCATTGCATGTGTGTATGTGTGTGAGCACACATGCATCTGTGTGTGTATACACAGACAATGTTCTCACTTTTACAAACATCCCCCCAAAAGCAATGCAAGCCAAAACCCACATCTGTTGGAAAAAGTGGTAAAAAAGGTCATTGGAAATATAGTAAAAATAACATTTCTCTATTGTACTAAAGTAATGTTCACTTTGAATTGGGTACTCGGTTCTCAGTGGCTTGTTCTACATCAACAAACTGGATATTTGGAACAATTATCTAGATAAAGCAAGCCAAACAAACCATCTAAAATACCCATAGATTTGATGCAAAGCTGCAGGGATTAGGGTTGGAAGGAGCTGACAGGTAGGTATGAAGAGGTTATTTAAATGATCACCTTATATTGTCTATGTCTATACAAGCAATCTGTTTATTAGTACTGTTTTGAAAACTTGATTACCAACATAATATCAATTTTTCTTATGTACTTTTAAACAGAAAATAACGTCTGCCTAATTTCAAGTACCTTTTATCTGATGGTTCAACAAACCAAGGTCTGAGCAACTTAAACTTTTAGTCAAAACACCACTTGAGTCTCATACACAGGTAACATGAACATCAGATGGTTATTCATATTTTCTGGCCAAAGTATCAACTCGTATTTTTCACTGAAATTCCCAATGAAATTTTTAGGGAAGGGTTTCACTGCCATAGAACTGTAACGTTCTTATTGAAAAGGTATTTATTATTTAATGCATTCAAAGGGTAGAGGACTTTTTTACATTCTTTAATCAAATTGAATACAGATGTTTAGATATTTTGGACTTAGCTGAAATAGCCTACATTATGTCAGAGTAGAATAAAAAAATGACTATGGGAGGCAGAAAGAACTGGAAAACTTCAAATATCCCCATGTAAGGGGACAGAAGTATAACTTGAAGCATTTATATCCCTGTAAAATGTGGCATCCAAAATAATGATTTTGAATTTGGAATCATTCCTCTGTCTTTGTACTACACTGGACTTAAAGCTAGAAGTGGAGGAGATACTTCAACAATGGTCATCCTATATAATAAAAGCCCCATATGCGAAGTCTCCAGTCATCTGGTTATCCGTTCAACCAATCAAAGCATAATATGCTAATGATATGCTAAGGCCGTTCAACCGCTCGCTATGATGTGCACTGACCTCTAGGGGGAAGACGCTCCCTATTGGTAGGTTAGCTTGCTGCTGGGGTCTGGCCGATTGGGACTGAGCGAAATGGGCTGAACATTCCCTGGAGCCCTCCTGTGCTCCCTCCCCAGCTGGCCAACCTCCCATGTCCCTCCCAGGCCCCAATCGTGCACCAGTGGGGTCCCTTGGCCTGGCCTGCGCCCTCTAGCAATCTGGGACCCCTCGAGGAATGTCAGAGAGCTGGTTTCAGCTTGATCCCGCTCAATACAGGAGCTGCCTCCTGGTGGTCAATGCCCTCCCACATGGGGAGTGCCACTCAGCCCGAAGCCGGGCTCACAGTTGGCAAGTGTAGTGGCAGTGGCGGGGCCCCCGCCTGCCTCCACGGCAGCACTAAGGATGTCTGACTGCTGGGGAGCGGCCTAAGCCGGCAGTCGGACATCCCTGAGGGCTCCCAGACTGAAAGAGGGTACAGGCCAGCCTGAGGGGCGCCCTAGTTTTCTAATATAATTCAGACATTTTCTTTGTATTAGCATTACCCTTACTAATTTTCATGGAGACTTTAATGTCCTTGGGTTACATTGGAGATCCATTCCTATGGTGTGATGTAATGCAATTCTTGCCATAAGTCGGAACCCACCTACATAAGTACCTAGGTCACTCACATGGAGCACATACACAGCAGTAATGAAGTGAAACAGTAAAAAAAAATTAAAAGAAAGATAACAAGTCCTGACCTTTACTTGTGGTAAATAAATAATAAAAAAACATAAAGCACATATGTACATACATCAAAATGACGGAACTTTTTTTTTTAAATAAATGGGAGATGGCGATGTAACCACGAAATGATGTACATTGAGTCCAACGTAACCCAAGGACTGTCTGTAATTAAATGAATACATGTGTCTGGAAGTGATAAGAAAGCCAATAGTAATGGAGGTGAACTGTGATATAGACAAATAGTAAATGATTTTTATACCATTTATAATTATATTTGATTTCTGACTACATTTTTAACTTTACATTTAAATATGTCAGTCTGAGATTTGTGGAGTTCACAGTATTTTGGACAAACGAACAAAAAGATATCTATAGTAGCCATTCCATTTTCACATTTATGTATTACTTAATAATAAACGTCTTGTTTCCATGATCTATAAGATTTGAGTTTATTTACTTGCTCTTTGACCTTGAGCAAGTCATCCTTCTCTGGCCTCTTTTTCTATTGTAAAATAAGAGTTTGTAATAGAAGCAATAGAGAAGCAATAGATCTTATCCTAAAGTTCTCTTTTAGCTTTAAAATTTTGGTTTTAAACTTATTATCCTGTTGATTCATACATTCCCTAGGGTCAGAAGTCATATTTAAATTAAGCATTTAATTTGAAATATCTTTCTTGACAGTAGCTGATCCAGAGGTTGGAGAGGTGAACACAAATCTCTTTTTCTTCCTACTTTCTACGAGTTAGAGCTTGTAAAAACATCGGTGCCACCAACGTGGAAGTTAGGGCAAGAGCTGTTTAGCTTTAACAGCAAACTGGCCTCAGTCCCCAACATAGGTAAACCCAAACATAGCCAGTGAAGTTTTAAGCCAAAGTGCCAAAGATAATAACCCTGAGATCTGCAAAGCAATGTACTATCCATGAAATATCTATACTGGTTTCTTTCAGTAGTAGAGATTGGCTACTATGATCTATACATATTCTCTCGTAGAGCATAATAGAAGACAGGAATTTGAAGCATGGTTCTATCTCTGGCTACCCTTATTTTCTGACAAACTGATAAAGTAATTGCCAGAAAAGGATTATCACAAGTACAAGCATTTGTGAGAAAGACATATCTTTTTCTTTTGATGGAATATGGCCATATATTGAGTTAGGAATGTAGCCCAGGTTCTATTTATTATTCAAACTAAATTTTGTAATTGGGAAAGTTGATTCTATAACTTTAGAAACCTTTTTGCTCGGCCAGTGTTGCTCAACAGTTTGAGCATCGACCCATGAACCAGGAGATCACCTGTTCAATTCCTGGTCAGGGCACATGTCCGGGGGGTGTGCTCAAACTCAGTGGAGGGCATGCAAGAGGCAGCTGATAATGTTTCTCTCTTGTTGATGTTCTATCTCTCCCTTCCCCTCTCTCCAAAATAATTAAAAACGTATTTTAAAACAGAAACCTTCGTGTTATTGATGTCAAGGCCATTTATGATAGTCCCACTTAGAGAAGCAGGAGAGAAGTGGGATTTGAGTAAATGTTCACTTCAGATATTATTAAGGAATTGTTTTGGGACCATCTCTTGCCAAATGGGAATTAATTCGAATAACAGAAATTACACTGTCAAACGCTATTTTGGAGGCATATTTGCATTGTTTTAAAATGCTTCATTTTGTCTCCTTATTATGGGGTAGCGATTCTATAGACCAAGCTGTATTTGTTTAGGAAAGGAGAAAAAACAGTAGCTGGCATCCATAGCAGCTTCACCTGGTGAGTGGTGCTGGAGAGGTATGTAGGACTCTATGTGGTCAGCCAAAAAACTCAAAAAATAAAATTAAATAAATTTAAAAAGAAAATTCTTCATTTCACTTATTTATACCAGAAAGCATACACAGGAATTCAGTTGGATTCCTATTGCTATTGACATTTACAAGAACATTGTTACACCTCTCTTCTTTTCTGAGCTATATACTGTTAATTTAATCTCCAGGACCCAGACCTAGGGCTATTCAGGTTAAACTTGGGGATACTGTTGTGCTAATGTTGGTAAAAACCATCCTTCATGTTATGCCTCAGCAGTTATTGGCTCTAACATGATGACCTTATGCATTATGGACTTCATTTTTTAAATATGCACCTTTATATTCTGACGAGGCCCTCTTAAGCCAGGGAAAATAATTTGTTGGGATGTATAAATGCAGCTTTTTTTGAAGACAGAATTTTGACCATGTTTATAGTCCCATGAAATCACTAGGGTTGTTATGTTATATACCTAACATAAGTTTACACATGCAATTCCGTTGCCCCCGGTGAATATTCAAACTGCAACCAGAATCAGGTTATCTAGACCTAAAATTGTTGGGTTTTTATCAGCAATTAATTAAAATGAAGAGGCTCTTCAGATTTTGACAAGTCAACAAGATGCCATTTTTTCTGATAAAAATATTTTCAAATCCAGTCCTTTATCTTATAAATGCTTTTCAATAACAATGATGATTAAAACTATCAGCAGTAGGTAGGACGCTATGAATATACCAGCTGATTATTTTTTCTTGCCAATGTATGAGATGTAGTGGCTATTGTTTATAGTGCAGTAGACATTTTTAAAAACTACACATCCTAAATATTAATCTCAGTTCTATCAAATTTTAAAATGTAGTAAGTTAAGTGAAATACACAAACACAAGAAAGGAATTCACTAACTTATTAGATATGACATATACTATGGGGTAAGATATTCATTGGCAGACATTAGGAAACTAGCACATATTTAAAGGGAAAAAAAAACCTCAACAGCCCCCACAATAAGGAGAAGTTGTAGTGTTTAAAAGTGAAAACAACAAAAAGGCCAGTTATACCTAGAAACCACAAGCTGACACTTCTTTGCAGGTTGTTCAGGCTCCCTTTGATGCTGTTTATTGAACCAAAATGGGCAGCATGGAGCACGGAAGGGTAAGAAATATAGGCAGGTTTGTTTGCCTTATCTGATAGCTGGTGGGGATGGCTGAGCACAACTTTCAGCCCTGTGGGGAAATGGTGTGAGATTCAGAAGGTCAGGAATCTGTGCGGCAGCAACAGTAGCAAAGTGGCACCTGGAGCTTCAAGGAAGCAAGGATAAGAAAAGCAAAGCCAAAGGGTTAAGCACCCCACTGCACCTCTGCTGATTAGGGGCACACACCCCTTCTATTGGTTGTGAAATGGACTTATAGGAATACAAAGGCAAATCATAGTAATATAATAATAACAAGAAGAACAACAAAATGGAGAATGTGGCTATAAAAGATGGTGAAAATAATAGGCGTTTTACTCTCCTATCTGGGAATGGGGGCAGTAAGGGGATTATATCCTGTCACTTCTGAGAATAAGGAAGTTACAAATTTTCGGCTGAGTTCCAAAACAGGTGATAGGGGCTTGACTTAGAGCCGAGTTGTAACTTGTTCTTCCTGTCCATCGCCCCATTTGTGCATGAGCAGGTCACAAGCCTCTCCCCAAGTTTCAAACACATCCTCTGAGGAGTCTAAAAGTTTTGAATTTGAAGAGCAGATGCTGGATGCGCAGTGAAGGGAGCTGGAACAGACTAGAGGACATTCACTGCTCTGAGCAGCTCCCTGGGCTTCACCTGATTCTACCTCACTGAGGTTAATTTCACTTTGAGAACAGGCCTCTGCTTTCCCTTTCTCCATCTGAGAATATCTGATGTCTTGCCACATATAGTGCTGCTGAACAATTCCATCAGAAATTGTGTACATTGGCTCTGAACTGGGTTCAGACATATGACCATTAAACTTGGAGAAGAGGAGACCCAGTTTCTTGAGAGAAGGACCCATAAAGGAGCGTTTGCTTGATGACTCAGCTTTTGACTTTCCTTGGGCACCACTGGCTTTTGGTGTGGTTCTGATGAGAGGTGGCCCATGGCAGGCCTTTTTCTTGCAGCCTAAACTGAAAGAGACGCTCTTGGATTTGGCCCGAGCCCCACCACTGCCATCATTGGTATCATCCCTCTGAGAGAATTCAGTGCTGCTGGTGGAAAAACTTCTCCTTGGGTGTTTTCTATTTCCTAACAAGTCAAGCACTTCATATCGAAAGCTGGAGATGTCCTGCTTTAACTCCTAGGGCAAGAGAGAAAACACATTATGTTAAGATGTGTGGTCTTTAGTGCAAAATAGGAACATTGGGTATTCTTTGCAATGTTCCACATTTTGCCTAATAGCAAATCACAAAGTACATGAACTACCAGAGAAGCTCACATTATTCTAGCACATTAATAAATCTGTGGGCAGGGCTGGCCATTGGAAAAATTGTGCAATTGGTAAAGTTGATTTCAGAACCTCAGCATCAGGGCACACCAACAAACTAATCCCGGCTAAAGCATTAATTAACAATTAGGCAATTAAATAGTGAACTGGCTATCATAGGTATGCACATCTGTATTTAAAAGGGGTCCTGAACAGGAAAAGCTTTTAGGACTCTAAGGTTTAAAACTAGGGAAGTCAAATGTGCCAGGTAATGAGGCTACTATTTTGGAAGAGGGGACCCTATTCATTCAAGTCCATATCAAATTTGTTCTCTCTGTAACTGGCTGCTCAACTACTAGAATGCTCCTTTAAAAAACATCTTTTAAATGCCTAAATCTGGTCATACTACTCCCCGCTTAAAACTCTTTAGTATCTTGTCACTGACCTTAGAAAAAAGTAGAAACTCCATATCACAGACTACAAAGTTTTTCAAGGCCTGGTATCTGTTGATCTCTCTGGTTTCATCTCTTCCTACTTTCCCCGGTCTCTTTACTGTCTACCTGTATGGACATATTCTCTCTTGCCTCTGGTCCTTGGCCTGTAGCTGTTCTCTGTCTAAAATACCCCCCCCCCAACTTTCCCTTATCTGGCTCCTTCTTCAAGCCTTAGATTACAAACCTGCCCTGACTCCCCAAGTCCCTCCTCTGTGTCTCTACAGCACCCTGTGTATATCCTGTTAGAATACTCATTTGTCAGCCTCTATTATTATTTGTATGTCACCCCTTGAAAGTAGGGGCTGTTTATATCTTGCTCACCACACTACCTGAGCAACTAGTGGAGTGCTTGGCATATAACATGCCCTCAATAGATGGGTTATATCTGTGGATTAGGATAATGGCCTTCCTATGTCCCTTAGAAAATATACGTGTATTCTAGGATAGGGTTTCTCAACCACTTGATATATTGACCTAGATAATTCTTTGTTGTGAGTACTATCCCATGCATTGTAGGATGTTTTGTAGCAACCCTAGTCTCTACCCACAGGATGCCAATAGCACACACATCCCAGTGTGACAATCAAAAATGTCTCCAGACATTGCCAAATGTGTCCTGGGAAACATAATTGTCCCTGGTTGAAAATCTCTATTTGAGGCTAATGCTAGTATTGAGAGAATTTTAATGTTTAATGGTAGGAGTTCTTGAATCTTAGATTTAATAATAGATTCTGTTAATTTTTACCTTATATTTTTAAAGTAATCAGAGCATTTAAATCTTCAGGTATCTTCCCTTTGCTAACTTGCCCCTCACCACACATTCTTGTCACATCATTTAAAGCACTCAGTTCCCACAGTGAGAAATACCCAGAATATGAAAAGAATGCATAGGACAGATTATTTTGTTCATAAAACTGATGGTGTGCTGTATTATAGGCAGTTGAAATTCCATCACCAGAAACTTCACTGTGAAGATTAAATGATGCTTAAGAAATATGAAATGAGAAATTAAACCACTTCATGGTTAAATTACCTTAAAATTTTCTTCTGTTAGTCCCTCATTTGTTTTGGAATTTCTTATCATAGCAGCCACATATCTTTTGACTAAATTCCTGATAACTTCCTGGAATTAAGGGAAAATAAAAACACATGAAGAGGCATTTCCTTCTTGGGCTCTCAGTAAAATAAAAAACATACACAGGAAATAAAATATGCTTAGATCATCTTTGCAGTGGAAAGTCCTCCCAGGATCCAGCAATTTTGTGTGAAAACCCAGTTAATTTCATTAGCTAAATGAAGAATTATTATGTGTCCAAATCTGGTGGCAGAGTGGGCCAGCAAGATCAAATTCACCTGAAAGGAAAATTTTCCATGCATAAGGTAAACACGGATTCACATTTATAGAATGAGAGTAGAACAATCCTTGACTGGTCATAGTCAATATCCTTTCCAGTCAGGCTGGATTAAACTTTAACCTGCCTAGTTAGTGAAATGAGGTTTTCTTCCTTTTATAAAATAAAGTCATTCGGCAGTGTCACAGAGTCTGCTGATTTTTTTTAAATTTCTTTATTGATTAAGGTATTACATTTGTGTCCTTATCCCCCATTACCTCCCCGCCCCCATGCCAACAGGAGGGTGAGGGCATGAGTCTGCTGATTTTAATGTTCACTACACAATCAAGATATTTTAATTCTTTGGATTGATTTTTAGAGAGAGAGAGGGAGAGAGAAACATTGATGTGGGAGCAAGACATCGACTGGCTGCCTCCTGCACGCTCCCTACTGGGATCCAACCCACAACCTGGGCATGAGCCCTGAACATGAATTGAACCAGCAAACTTTAGTGAATAGAACAATGCTCAACCAGCTGAGTCACACCTGCCAGGGCTCAAGATATTTTTCTTAGAGTAAAACCTCACTTCTCCTTTGCAGAGATGGCCTCTTTTTAGTTAGCTTTCTGAGAATGGCACACACATAGTTACTATTCTTTGTATCACTATGGTAATGTGGATAGCTACCACTTAATGCAGTGTCACACACACACACACACACACACACACACACACACACACACACACACACACACTCACACACTCATATATACATACCACTCAATTCTCACCATAACTCTGAGTTAAAGTTTAATCATCCTATTTTACAGATGAGAAAACTGAGCCTCAGTGAGTTTAAGCGACTTGTCCAAGGTCACACAACTGACCAAGAACTATTGTGCTTAGTCTCTGTGAGGAAGTTTTACCTGATAATGTTGATTCTGTATCAGGCTGTCAGCATGGCGTTCCTATAATTAAAAATGGACAAAGAAGTTACATCAGCAGTCTTTCAGCAACCCATCTACCCAAATATTACTTATAAATATTAGGACTAGAGAATGAAAGGATTTCCTGCCTGACAAATCCCCAAACATTTTTTTTTTATATTTTATTGATTTTTTACAGAGAGGAAGGGAGAGAGACAGTTAGAAACATCGATCAGCTGCCTCCCGCACATCTCCCACTGGGGATGTGCCCGCAGCCAAGGTACATGCCCTTGACCGGAATCGAACCCGGGACCCTTAAGTCCGCAGGCCGACGCTCCATCCACTGAGCCAAACCGGTCAGGGCAATCCTCAAACATTTTAGGTTGGAGTGATTTTATGATGTTTAAGATAGGGAATGTCACAAATGAGGAAAGGCAGGACACAGTTTTGTTTATAAAGAAACATAATTTTTAAAAGTCTTACTGTGAAACTTCTCAGGTTGTGCCTTCTCCGTCTACCATCAGGGTCTCTTTTTGGGCAGAAGGTGTTATTAAACCAGTTGCCAAGGTATAGAAATGACTTAGGACTAGGGATGATGTTAAAAGGAGGTGGCAAGGTACCGCCTTCATCAAAGTAACTCATCCAGAGCTTTGTCCTTGCAAATTTCCACTCAATATCTGCATGATCCTATGAAAGAGAGAAATTCAAGGATTCAGGATGGGAAACACCAAAATGCACCCATGTTGCATTCTAAAAGTTCTACCTTGCTTCTGTAGAAAGCAATCTGTCAGTAGGCATAAAAATTCAAATTATACATACTCTGTGATTCAGTAATCCTTCTTGTAGAAATTTATCTTATAAATATACTCATAAAAAGATGTATGTACAGGGCTGTTCACTATAGGATTGTAACTTAATAGCAAAACATCCAACAACAACCTAAATATCCAACAGTGGGAGACTGATTAAATAAATGATGTTACATTCATAAAATGGTTTACAATATAACTACTTAAAAATATCTATGAACATTTTATATATAGAACCTGTATATGTGTATATGAAATTATCTGTATATTTTATAAGACCGCCATGATCTTTAAGTCAGGAAAGCAATATAAAGCATGATATATATTGTATACAATGATCTCATTCATGCAACTGAAAACCCTTTTATATTGCATACTTACATGTCCCAGACAGGTACATATTAAACTGTCCACAGTAGTTATTTTAAGGAGGTGGAGTGGTGTGGAGAGGATTTCTTTAAAAAAATAACTTGAAGTTATTGAAGTATGATTTACACAGAGTAATATTCACCCTTTTTAAGTACTTGATGAATTTTGACAGAATATATATATATTAGAGGCCCAGTGCACAAAAATTCGTGCACTGGCGGGGGTGGGGGGGGGATGTCCCTCAGCCCTACTTGTGCCCTCTCACAGTCTGGGACCCCTCGGGAGATAATGACCTGGTCGCTTAGGCCTGCTCCCAGGTGGCAGAGGGCAGGCCCAATCCCTAGGGGCCTGCCCTGCAGCTCCTGGTCGGGCTCAGAGCAGGGCCGATTGGGGGATTGGGGCGCCAC